AGGGTGGAAAAGCGAAGACCGTTCGCGAGGCATAGGGCGACGCCAAAAGAAGAAGGAAAACGGAAGAAGACGTTGGTGAGAGCGAGACGAATAGACGCAACGTCGTACCCATCGTCGTCTTCGTCGTCTTCGTCGTCGTCGTCCGCCCGGAAAGATCGATAAAGGTAAAATTGTCATAACGCGAGATGGCAGTAACGACACGGAGGAGAGGAGTTCGTAGTCCTGTGGAAGCGCGAAGGATAACTTTCTGCCTTCGAAAGAAGGAAAGCAGGAAGGAAGGAAGGAAGGAAGGAAGTAAGGAAAGAAAGAAAGAAGGAAAGAAGGAAGAGTAAGAAAATGAGAAAAAGAGAGAGACAGACAGAAAGAGAGAGAGAGGGAGAGAAAAAAAGAGAGAGAGTGAGAGGGAAGATGAACGAACAAGCAACATCAACAACGCGCGATAAACCGAGCGAGCGAACGCGCGCATCGTAAAGCCATAAATTATTCGAAAGGAAAAAAGGTTCGCTTCGACGAGAAGTATAGAATGGGAGGAGGAGGTTGGGAGAGGGGGTGGTGGAAGGTCGCTTTCCGTGCTGACTGACGCGATACGCGAACGTCCTCTCTCTTTCTCTCTCTCTCTCTCTCTCTCTCTGTCTATGTTTCTACGTCTCTTTCTCTCTCTCTCTCTCTCTCTCTCTCTCTCTCTCTCTCTCTCTCTCTCTCTCTCTCTCTCTCTTGTGAGAGGAAGGGGTGAGTGATCAATGTCCGCGGTTAAAAAAAAGAGCGCGTACCTATCGATAATAATCCAGGTTGACGGTACGGAGGAGGAGAAAAGAGGGCCGACATGGCCACGCAGGTGTGTGCTCGAGGTAACAACCCAAACTCGGATCTAAAGCCGGCCACCGTTGCTCGCGACAGCCAGGTGTGTGCACTACGCGTGTGTTTCGCCGTTGAGCTACTACCGTGCCTGTGTTTTTCTCTTGCTTCTCGCTTACACGCTCTGGAGAGAAAGAGAGAGAGAGAGAAAGAGAGAGAAAGAGAAAGAGAGACAGAGAAGAAGGGAGGGAAGGAGAGAGAGAGAGAGAGAGAAAAAGAGAAAAAGAGTGGGAGAGGGCGGCCAGTGGCATTTTGTAAATTAAATTTTAAATATTAAAAATAGCCCGTCGCACTCTTTCTCTCCCTCTCCCTCTTTCTCTCTCTCTCTCTCTCTCTCTCTTTCTCTTTCTCTCTCTCTCTTTCTCTCTCTCTCTTGCTCTCTCACTCTCATCCTAGCCACTTCCTACTTTTTCTCCTCGTCTCTCGTTTTTCCAGCGAGCATCCATCGCTGCTCTCCCTCGAACACCCCCTTCAACCCACTGTACCCTTGCCCATCGGCTACCTCGACGGTCACCGTTCTCTCTTTACCTCTCTCTCTCTCTCTCTCTCTCTCTCGCCGGGTGCAACCCACTTATTCATTCGTCGATAATAATTTTATTCGAGGGTGAAAAATTGCTGTTTCCTGTCCCCCTCTCTGTTTCACCCTCTCCCTTACTCTCTCGCGCTCGTCTCTCTCTCTCTCTCTCTCTTTCTCGTCTTCTACCTCTTTCCTTCTTCCTGGTCTCTCTCTCTCTCTCTCTCTCTCTCTCTCTCTTTCTCTCTCTCTCTCCCTCTGTCGGATGGTCGTGCGCGAGCGCTCGTGATGCAGCTCGACGCCGGGGCAGATACGAAGGTAGCAGAGTCCTCATGCATACTTCAGAGTGCTTTTGATCGGGCCGGACCCCCGGAATGAAATATAAAAATCGCAATAAAGCGTCGCTACCGGTGGCGGGGGTTGTTTCGATTCCGTATCCAGGATTCGGTGGTGCTTCTTCTCAACGATGCGATTACAACGTACGAGTCAACGTGTTCTCGTTCGTTCTGGCAATATGCTTCGAAAATTCGAACTGTTAAACAGACGCCTTTTAACGAATACCGATCTAACAAATTCAAAATATTTCAAATATAACAAGAGTTTTGTCTCGGTCAAACGTACGTAACGTACGATCATTTATTTTTTTCTTTTTCTTCCTTCTTCCATTTATTTTCTTCTTTATATAGAAAAATAAATAGTACAAAATTTGATGTAATTAAATGATATGAAAGATTTGATACGTCGTTTATACTACACTGGTTATAAGAAATAAAATGGAAAAGAGTATATAGAAAGTACAAAAAAAAAGAAAAGAAAAAAAAAAGAAGAAAGAAAGAAAGAAAGGAAAAAAGATATAAGATCAAACGATCCTACGAACAAGCAAAGTAGTTTGTACAGGAACGAGTAGAACGACATTTTCGTATCGCGCTCGAACGCGTCTCTTTACACGTTATTATCGCTTTCGTTCAACTTGTCGCACGTGTTATACGCCATACGCTGTCCCACTTCGACCACACATGACGCTACATGTACTCAGAGAAAGGTGCACACACACACACACACACATATATATATATACAGAGAGAGAGAGAGAGAGAGAGAGATAGAGAGAGAGTATAAAAAAGGAAGAGAGAGAGAGGGAGAGATAGAAGGAGAAGGAGAGGGAGAAGAGTTTACTCGAGGATCGACATATTCCCTTATCCTTCTCTCACGATCTCTTTCTCTCTCCATACTCTCAGGACGATCCCACCGAGGAAGACACGTCGTGCTCG